TTGTGCACTTTGGCTGTCGTTGAATAAGGTAACTCCCTCACAGATTATTCCAATGGTGTTAAGCATATCTTTGATGTAAAGAGCTTCTTTTGTAGCATCGGCGATAGCTATATATTCTGCTTCGGTGCTTGATAAGGAAACAGTGCCTCCCAACTTATGGCAGCGCCTGCCAAGAGAAAGGCAAAGCCTGAGTATGATCGCCGATCTTCAATGTTTGCACCCCAATCTGCATCTACTACTCCGTATAGTTTCAAATTTGTTTTGTTATAGAGCAAACCATAATCGATCGTTCCTCTAATAAAGCGTAAAATTCTTTTGGCTGCTTTCCAATGTTCTTCAGTGTAATTTGAATTAAATTGACTCAAGTAATTTACAGCATATGCAATATCGGGGCGTGTTGTCACAGTTAAATACATTAGTGCTCCTATTAAGCGCTGATAAGGGTATTCGGACATCTCCTTTTCATCCTTTACTTTGGGGCAGGTCAATCCACAATTTATCACTAAGGGAGTGGAGACTGGTTTAAAGTCCGCCATACCAAAACGTTCTAAAATAACTTCTGCATATTTTTGCTGTGATAAGAAAACTTGATTAGTTTTAAGGTTTTGATCAAAATCAATTCCCAAGCAACGTTTAACTGGACCGATATCTTTCATATCAAACTATTGATGTAATGATGCCTTAATAGTGTTAATCCATCTAGGTTCATTTGAAGCCAATAACAGGTCATCTACATAAATTAAAATTATTAAAACTTTATCGTCTTTTTTCTTTGAAAACAAGCAGGGATCTTTTATAGTTGGCTTTAAACCTAAATTAAGAAGTTCTGTAGTTAATTTATGGTACCACATTAATCCTGACTGGCGCAAACCGTATAACACTTTCTTTAAAAGACATACGGGACTTTGAAGACTTGATATTGCCTGCAGCCATCTATCAGCTGTCTCCTCGACGTTTTGTTTTTTTTTAATATTTTTAGTGCCCATTGACTTATCAGATATTAGTTTCTTTAGTATATACTTTAACTGGTCTGGTATTTCAATGTACACACTTTCATCAAGTTCGCCGTTAAGGTATGCTGTGATTACATCCATTTGATGAATCTCCAAATGCAATTCTGCTGCGATACATGTTTTATGCTACACCTCCCTTTTACGGAAGAATATGCATACCCTTTTTAAATATATGAACATTCTTTAACAAATTATTACTATAATCTTAATAATTAATTTTATTACAAATATGGGAATAAACATCTTATTTATTACTTAAACTCATGCGCATATGTTACTAAGGATAATGTTAATTATATTATTTGTTGAAAATCTTAAGTCTATTCTTATGAACTATTTGCTCTTTTTTATTTTTCTTATCTACTATAGTTACATTATTTCTTAAATCTATGTTTTTAATTTCGTAAGGTCCTTTATATTGTGGATCTAATTTGTGACCTACTTCATTTTAACCAAAACTAAATCTCTTACTTTTAATTTATAATCTAACAATGTCTTATCATAATTTAATTTTTGTTTTAACTTATACCTATCATTTATTTCTCGTGCTCTCTTATGTGCTATTTCTAACCTATATCTAACTTCCTTAGCATAATCTTCTATATTATATAAAGGTGATATTGTATGAACCTTATCAAATTGTTGAAACCCATTAGGAATATTACCGAAAACTAACTCATAAGGGCAATAGTCATGCACCGTAGATGGCGTGGTATTGAAACAGTAAGTGAAATACCTGAGCCATTCATCCCAATCGCTTTTGTCAACGGATATGTAAGATCTTACATATTCGTTGAAGGTTCTATGACTTCTTTCTATAGTTCCTAGCGTCTGGTGATGATGAGCAGTCGATGTAATATTTTCTATCTTCAAAAGGTTACATAATTCATTAAGCACCGAATTTTTGTACTCTGTACCCATGTCCGTAATGAACGTCTTCATCGGTCCATAAGTAAGAATAAAATGTTCAAATATGGCTTTCGCAACTGATTTTGCGCTTTTATCTTGAATAGGTACCGTTACAAGATATTTTGTCATGTCGCATATTATTGTGACAGCATATGAATTTCCGTTATATGATTTTGGTTGTGGACCTATAGTGTCCACTATTACCGTATCAAATGGTTTAGCTACCGGCCACTTCTTGGAGCCTTGGGAAAAATTGTCCTAAATCAAATTTCCCATTGATAAACAATTAATTTATTTTCATACATGCAAGTTTCGATTTACCACGTTTAATATAAAATGTATGTGGGTCAGTTTTTAGCTTGCAAAATTTTCTGACGTCAGAATTCATAATTGGGTTAAATACATTGGGCTTCTCATGTTTATTTTCTAAATGCTTTTTGTTTAATGTAACTGGAGATTTTTCAAGTGACTCTTTTGCCATTGATCGTGTTGTTATTTTGTTCATTTCTTTCAAATCATTTATGGTTATACGCGATAATGCGTCAGCAACATAATTATCTTTTTCCCTAAGATATTCAACTATAAAATCATATTCCTCTAAATCAAGTCTCATTTTTGTTAATTTTGAACTTGGATTTTTTATAGAAAATAAATAAGATAATGGTCTGTGATCAGTGCGGATTAAGAAATGTTTTCCATATATGTATGGTCTAAAATGCATAATAGCCCAGTGTATAGCTGTTAACTCCTGTTCTATAGTTGATTTATTGCTTTCGCCCCTTTGTAAATACTTTTGAAGCATATGCGACTGGAAGGTGCTTTCCATTGAGTTCTTGTGTTAGAACGGCACCACAAGCTTGTTTGCTTGCGTCAGTTGTTATACAAAATTCTTTTGAAAAATCTGTATACTGAAGCAATGTTGGACTCATTAATGCCTTTTTTAGATGTTTAAAAGCCAAATCACAAGCCTCAGTCCATTTGAACTCAACATTTTTCTTCGACAACCGTGTCAAATGTCTTGAATAATCGGAAAAAATTTTTGATGAATCTTCTATAATAGTTGCAAAAGGCTACAAATCGTCTTGCCTCGTCAGCGTTTTTTGACGTTGGATAGTTTTCAACTGCGCTATATTTGCTATCGTCTGGGAGTATTCCTTTATCCGTACATTTATGTCCCAGATATGTTACCTCTTTCCTGAAGAACGTACATTTCTCAGGATGCAACTTGAGATTATATTTCCTACATAACTCAAACACATTTGTTAAATTCGAAAGCATGTGCTTTTCGGAACAACCTAGTAGTACTAGATCGTCCATATACAAGAAAGCTTGGCAGGCTTTAGGCCGCTGAAAGCAATTGTCATCATTCTTTGGAATGAATTTGGGGCTATTTTTAAACCATAAGGTAATCTAGTAAATCTGTATGATCCATTACTAGTTGAAAAAGACGTAAGATCTCTAGAATCTCTTGCAAAGTTTGCATATGTTGGTGAATTGTTTTTTCCTTAGTTGGTCTGTCAATATTCAAACATTTGTAAGATCGGTCAAATTCATCTCTAATTATTCTAACCCTTTTTACTATATCTGACCACTCCATCTATACTCTATTCAAATCGTTAGCTCGGATTGTATATTTCTTCTTTAATCTTTTAAGGCGTAAAAACGCAACAATGTATTTAAACCTATTAAAAAAGTTGTTATTATTAAACAACATTCAATTAATTCAAGATTTGTATTTCCCTGTACTACCTCTACTTCATTGACCACATTGGCCGAAGGATTTTCTATTTTGGATTGGTGTTTTCCTATTACAAAGGACCTTAAAAAAATTTAATTGAGCTTGAAAACTTAAATATTCTATATATTATTTTTATTATTCATTATTCTTAAAATTATTTATATGTATAAAGTAAAAAATATTTATATTTGTCAAATGGCGGTTAACGCCTACTGACCTAAATGTGCAACTGAATGCACAATATATATTATTATTATTATTATTATTATTATTATTATTATTATTATTATTATTATTATTATTATTATTATTATTATTATTATTATTATTATTTTTAATGTTTTGTTTTTAATAGAAGATCGATTCTATCGATCTTTTCCCACATGGCCGACGCCTGGTTCCAAGGAGGTGGTGAATCCTGGTTTATTAGTCGGATCAGGACTGCCCTTTCTCTTCTTAACCTTGTCTTAAAACCACCCCTTCGTTTTGGTTTCGTTGTTGGTGGTATCTTTGTTAGGTTTTCTGCTGGTTTCTAGTGTTATGGCTCTTGGGCCTGGTGTACCCATTCTGTACCTTGGCCGTACAGACTTCTGACGGAGACTTAGCTGTCCGCCAGGAACCACAATTTTTTTATTTGGGTGCCCTTTTATTTTCTGGCAATCCAAAAGACTTTTTATAATAAAATAATTGCCTTTAGGTGCTTTAAAACAGCACTCCCAAGGTCTTTTTATTCTTTTTGGGTGCTTATTATTTTTAGCACTCCAAAAAGGCCGGCAGGATCGCCATAAAGAGCTATGCTAATTAAAAGATGTTTACGTTAAATCTTAGTTCTTCGCAAGAACTAAATTACAGCTCTCTTGTGTTAAGCGAATTGTGTCTTTATTGAAAAAGTTCTTAGATTATATAGTAATTAATTGCTTACACAGCATTATTCATAAAGTGGATAGTGTAACAATTGGACAGAACATTGAACGCAAGAAATACATACAAACAAAGCCACGATCAGTAAAATATTTAAAGTGTTGACTGTTTTATCGACTTTGTAATATGATATTATTTTTAATTGCTTTTTCAATATTCTGTCGGCATAAGCGATACATGTTTTATGCTACAGTTCTCTGTCGATAAATATTCAAGAGTTATGGTATTACTACGGATACAATCGCGTACGAAATGATGGCGAATATCTATGTGTTTCGTCCGTGAATTATAGCCAAAACCTTGTATAAGTTTTTGTGCACTTTGGCTGTCGTTGAATAAGGTAACTCCCTCACAGATTATTCCAATGGTGTTAAGCATATCTTTGATGTAAAGAGCTTCTTTTGTAGCATCGGCGATAGCTATATATTCTGCTTCGGTGCTTGATAAGGAAACAGTGCCTCCCAACTTATGGCAGCGCCTGCCAAGAGAAAGGCAAAGCCTGAGTATGATCGCCTATCTTCAATGTTTGCACCCCAATCTGCATCTACTACTCCGTATAGTTTCAAATTTGTTTTGTTATAGAGCAAACCATAATCGATCGTTCCTCTAATAAAGCGTAAAATTCTTTTGGCTGCTTTCCAATGTTCTTCAGTGTAATTTGAATTAAATTGACTCAAGTAATTTACAGCATATGCAATATCGGGGCGTGTTGTCACAGTTAAATACATTAGTGCTCCTATTAAGCGCTGATAAGGGTATTCGGACATCTCCTTTTCATCCTTTACTTTGGGGCAGGTCAATCCACAATTTATCACTAAGGGAGTGGAGACTGGTTTAAAGTCCGCCATACCAAAACGTTCTAAAATAACTTCTGCATATTTTTGCTGTGATAAGAAAACTTGATTAGTTTTAAGGTTTTGATCAAAATCAATTCCCAAGCAACGTTTAACTGGACCGATATCTTTCATATCAAACTATTGATGTAATGATGCCTTAATAGTGTTAATCCATCTAGGTTCATTTGAAGCCAATAACAGGTCATCTACATAAATTAAAATTATTAAAACTTTATCGTCTTTTTTCTTTGAAAACAAGCAGGGATCTTTTATAGTTGGCTTTAAACCTAAATTAAGAAGTTCTGTAGTTAATTTATGGTACCACATTAATCCTGACTGGCGCAAACCGTATAACACTTTCTTTAAAAGACATACGGGACTTTGAAGACTTGATATTGCCTGCAGCCATCTATCAGCTGTCTCCTCGACGTTTTGTTTTTTTTTTAATATTTTTAGTGCCCATTGACTTATCAGATATTAGTTTCTTTAGTATATACTTTAACTGGTCTGGTATTTCAATGTACACACTTTCATCAAGTTCGCCGTTAAGGTATGCTGTGATTACATCCATTTGATGAATCTCCAAATGCAATTCTGCTGCCAATGGCACTAAAAGTCTTATTGAGGATGAACGCGCCACTGGAGAATAGGTTTGATGAAAGTCTTCACCAGGACGTTGGACATAGCCTTTTGCTACAAGTCGAACTTTTTTCTTACCATTGTCTTTTGTACGAAACACCAATCGGCTATTAATTACCCTTTTCTTAGACTCAGGCCGCTCGACTATTTCCCACGTGTTGTTACTTAGTTGTGCTAAATACTCATCTTCAATTGCTGCCATCCAATCAGTTGCATCATTACACTCCATAGCTTGATCGTTCGCCATCGATAGGTATGCTAGTTCGCATTATTCAAAATTATGCTCTTCAGGCTGATCCAATGGCTCGCTATCATCACCTTCTGGTTCATTTTTGTCGGTATTAGTTATTTGAAAGATTTTCTTAGGTCGACCACGCGTACCTGTCCTTTGTATTTTTGGACGCCCTCTCCCGCGTTTCTCGCTTTTTACATCATCGTTGAGTGGGTTGTTATCATCTATACGTGTTTCTTTTTCGTCAATTTCTTCGGAACCAGGTTCACATTCAATTTCAATAACATCGTTTTCATCAGAATTATAAAAATCTTCGTATGTATTGTTAAATCCTTTTTCATTAATAAATAATAAAGACGTCTCTCCTTTTCTGAGACCACATACGATACGCTTTTGATTCTGAGGAATAACCCACAAAAACGCAAAGTTCCGAACGTGAATCAAATTTGCCCTTGTTGGGATTTTTGTTTAAAACATAACCTTTACACGCGAAAACTTTAATATGCATTACTGTGGGCTTTGTATTTACCCAAAGCTTGTATGGAATTTCACCGTTAGCTTTTGTAATACACCTGTTTCGAATATAACATGCGGTATTAATGGCTTCTGCCCAAAACGACGGTGGCGACTCTGCATGTTTCATCATACACCGTGCCATTTCAATGAGGGTTCTATTTTTGCGTTAAGCCGTACCGGTTTGTTTGGGGCGTGTGGGGAGTTGTCAAACGACGTTTTATTCCATGTTCTTGTAGGTACATATCAAATTCATGATTACAGTATTCGCGACCATTATCAGACTGAATTGCTTTAATTTTTCTACCCGTGAATGTTTCTGCCGCAGCTTTGTACTTTTGAAAGGCGGTGAACACATCAGACTTTTGTTTTAAAAAGTATACTTCACACCACCGTGATTTGTCGTCGATGAATAAGACGAAATATTTAGCGCCAGAGTTAGATGCATATCTCATCGGGCCACAAACGTCACTGTGGACGGTTTCGAATAATTCGTTAGATCTATGGTTTTTTTTTTGGAAAACACGCGCGCGTCTCTTTTAGGCTTATACATATTTCACATGTTGATAATTTAAGTTCTTGATTAAAATTTAGTCCATAAATATCACTATTTTTTGCCATATCTTTAAGGTCTCTTTCATTTAAGTGGCCCATTTGTAATGCCATAAATCAAGTTCGTTTCGGGCTTCAACGACGTTCGCGACACTTTCAGTATTTTTCAAATAGTATAAATTGTCTATTCTTTCCGCACGAAGACACACTTTTTTATTTTGATCTATTATTACCGCTTCATTTTTATGAAAAATTACCTCGTAACCACTGTCTATTATTTTCGATACCGATAATAAATTTGTGCGTAAATCGGATACATATAAAACGTCCTTCAAATGTAAATTTGTATTAATCTCATTTATTACAATATCAACGTTTCCAACACCACTTATCGTTGTATAATTGTTATTTGCCAAACTAAGTTCTTGATTTATTTCTGATAGCTGTTTAAAATGTTTAATATTTGCACTCATGTGCGAAGTGCAGCCACTGTCCAAACACCACTTCGTGTTACCATCCGGACACAAATAAACTGATTCAGTTGTTGTACAGCAAATATTAGATTTTCTGTTATTTTCACCTGTATCTTGGGCATTTTGTATATTTTTATTTTTTACTCTACAATTTCTTGCGTAATGTCCGAGTTTGCCACACTTAAAACACGCACCATTTTGTTTCAGTTTTGTTTGTTTCGTTTTTTGTTGCTCTTTTTTTTGCGTATAATGCATCAGACACGTTTTTGTCTTCCTTAGATTTTCTCGATTAGAACTCTTCTAGAATTTTTACACGAAGTACTTCGGGTTTTGGCAGTTCATCAAGTGTTTTTAATGCACATCGAAAAGTCTCAAATGAATCTGGAAGACTATATAGAATCTGGAAGACTATATATAGCAAAATCGCCAAGAGCTCATCACCGATAGAGACACCGATCTCTTTTAACTTTGTAACTGCATCGAAAAACTCATTTAAATGTTCACGTACTTTTTCATCGTCACGCATACGAGATAACGCGACGCATTTTAACAATGTTGCTTTTCGAGCAGGGCCTTTGGATTGGTATGTTGATTCCAATCTTAACCACACTTCCCTTGCGGTCGTACACTCGGCTACCAATCCCAATTCCGACGAGCTCATTGCCAGCGTGATGTCTGCAGCAGCCTTTTCGTCTTGTCTTTTCCATGAATTAAACTCCGCCGGATCTGTAGGACATTTAATGCTGTCATCCACATATGACCATAAATCAATTTTTATTAATATAGCACGCATTTGCATTTTCCAGGTGTCATAGTTGTCCGCGTTTAGCGGCTCTATGAGCACCACACCGGCCATACTTCAATTTTTATCTTTAAAAGAGTTTTTCACTCACCAATAGATTATATTTGCCAAACTGGGCCCATAACCTATTAAATCATGTACACGTTGTTAAAATTCAAGTCACTTTATTGAAGTATAAAAGAGGAATGAATAAAGAAAAAAAAAGTAACATAAAGTAATATAAAGAAAATACAATAAAAGGGAAGAATATTTGACAGTTCATTATAATAAACAAAAACGCATTATGCAGTATTGTAGTTGATCGTCTTCGTTACTCCAACAAGTTGAATTTTATTTATTATTTATTAGTTAATAAAATATGTACCTTTAAGTGATTTTCGGAAGTTGACTTTATATAACTTGATAGATACACAAAACATATTCGTGCCGAATTGTACCTCGATAGCCATATTTATCAATGAAATATGCTCGTTTAAGTGATTTTCGAAAGTGGACCTTATATGACCAATTACGGGCCTATCCGGAAAAAAATTCGGAGAGTGATTCATACATACACAAAACCGAATTTTATTTAGATACCCAGCAAAAACTCGGTAATGGGTTGTACTTCCATAACCACTTACTTTTCAATGACTACTACTTAGAAATACTCTAGTAATGAAGTACTTTATTTTCGGCTTTGTCGTTTTGTTTGCACATTTTATTTAATTGCGTGCTAAGAATTGTGTTTTACAAAAAATAAAACAAAAGTAGGTTTGTATGTGAAAACCATTATTTGACGAGCAATGAAATAGCTAAGCAGTGGTGCAGTGGGTAGAACATTTGACTAACAAACCGAAGTCCTTGGTTCGTATTCTAGATGGCTCTTTTTTGTTATACATATAGTTTGGGAATCCACTGAGTTGAAAATCGAAATCAGTCCACAATTTCTTGTACCACCCATAGGGATTAAAATTTATTATTTCTCGCAAAAAAATTAAATAAAAACTGTCCAAAACGAACAGGATTCGAACTTAAAATCTCCCAGTTGCTAGTTTTACGCCATTTCCACTACACTATTAACTAGCTTCGTAATTGTTTGCAACTAATGTTCACATAGAAATTCTCTTTCCTGTTTGTGTAAAAAATTGTTGTTAACCCAAGATCAAATAAAATGTGCACATTGAGAAAGTGTAACTGACAATTTCTTATGCTATTCAGCAACATCATTGTTGATAAAAGTTATTCAGCAGCAATGTTTTGTACAAACAGAAAATAACATGTCATTTTTATATTAAAAATATTAGTTAACGAAGGACAAAGTAATGAAGTGGTGCATTGGATGGAAATGAGAATTAATTACATGTTCGGTTCCTGGTCGAATTATCTTTTTTTGTCATAAATATTTAATTTTTTTAAATCAAATTAAGTGTCGAAACTCGGTTCAACAATAAAAATTTAAAAGCAATTTTTTTTTCATAGGATCAACAACGTTGAAAAGCTATTGTACCTCCCGTACAAAATTATATAAGTTTTATAACTATTACCATTTCTCACACATAGAAATTATTTTAAATGCAGAACATAGGTTAAATTTAATATGCTCTGTAACAGCAGTGTTGTCAACTATTTTATACTAAAACGCGCCGTCCATTCACTCAAAACGCACTAATAAGCGTTAAAATTATATTTTTACACAATCTTAAAAAATATAGTATTTAGCTAAAATTTGTTTATTAAAAAAATTACTCCTTAATTGGAATTTTGATTCGGGAACGAAATTTAAAAAATTAAGGTTAATACAAATATGTTCGATTTTCTTATTCAATGACTAATTGCTATCATCGATCAAGCTCTCAATAACTAGTCAAAGAGATTTTTTGAAATTCCCCATAATAAATTTTAATTAAACTCTTCATTTCCAAAAATACTAAGAGCCAAA